TATATATATATATATATATATATATATATATATATATATATATATATATATATATATTATGATCGGAGCGAAATAAATACATGAGCTCAGGTAATGTTGGCAAAGCTTTAAAAAGAAACGTTGATTAAGATGTTAGTTAACATAAAAAGTTAACATATTTAAAATACTAAGATTAAACGAAACTCAGTTAAATTAAAGTCGATGTTTAAATGTAAAAAAACAAAACACACTGTTAAAAACTACCCCACTGTTAAAATCAACCACACTGTTAAAATCAACCACACTGTTAAAAACAACCACACTGTTAAAATCAACCACACTGTTAAAATCAACCACACTGTTAAAAACAACCACACTGTTAAAAACAATCACACTGTTAAAATCAACCACACTGTTAAAAACAACCACACTGTTAAAAATCAACCACACTGTTAAAAACAACCACACTGTTAAAATCAACCACACTGTTAAAAACAACTACACTGTTAAAACTATCAAAAAAGTAGATTACCGCATCCTTCTCTTTTTATCTCACCGAAGATGTTGTCCGTCTCTTTGTGGACATCGAAAGAGTGACCTTCACCGAAGAAAAGTTCAAAGTTCATGCACGAATATCTTTTTCTTACCATATCGTTTGGTTTTTTTTTGTGGTTTTTTCGTAACATGCATTTGTTAAATTACCATGCTCTACATCAGTTTGATCAGGTCAACTACTACACTCTTATATCACCTTGATCAGGTCACCTACTACACTCTTATATCACCCTGATCAGGTCAACTACTACACTCTTATATCACCTTGATCAGGTCACCTACTACACTCTTATATCACCCTGATCAGGTCAACGAACACGCTCTTTTCACTCGACGTAAGGAATGTTTAAATTATCTATTTGGTACAAATTCATGTACTTGTATTCCAACGAAATAGATTACATAATATATACCTGAAATGATGTCGATCAAATGACAAGCCCATACACGATGGCAACATGCTTGAACAACTAGATGCATGCACATCAATACATGTAGTAGTTATAAATTAGTGTATGTTTTCAAAGACATGCACAGTGGTCTCAAACCACGGAGTAAACAGATCTGACAAACTGAGGTAGCTCGTCACAAGTATAATATATTATGAGAATTTATAACAAATTTCATTTTCAGTGAGAATAATAGCTCTACTATAATCAATTCCCTCCCCCCGTTTTTGGCCATCCCTAAATGACATAAAGAATCAGATAGTATGTAAGATTTTTTTTTTAAATTGTCAAACTCCAATGGTATCTCTTTTTTTAAAAAGTGTGTGTTTGGGGGGGGGGGCGCAAAGGTCACATACGTGTTACAAGGGCGTCTAAATTATCTTGACG